CACAAACTATAATCGAAACACTCGACCGCAAACTATATTTAAATCTATGGTAAACAAACTTATAGAAACTAATATCTCGTGTCAGGTACTTTTGCGTCACCCCATTGGAATCCCTTCCAAATGATTGGTCCGCCAAAATGTCCTCCACTGCCAGAATGCGTAACCTTGCTATATACTGAAGTCTCAGACACTCGAGCATAGTGCCAGAATGTGCCGAACACCAATGATAGCACTCCAAAGGAGATTCCGAGGGGAATGTTGTCTTCTGAACGCGAAACAATTCATTATGAAGAACAAAATTCGAGCCAAGTTTCTTTGAGAACGGTGAAAATGAGAAGAAAATTTCCACTGACTCATCATGGAGGCGAGCGTAGCTCCTAAAGCAGCACTTGCGAACCAGTGGTTTTTGACGTCATCCTGGAATTATTAATAGTTCGTGTTGTCACTGTCACTTCTATAAAAACAGACATTTAGAAAAAAAATTAACCAGAAACAAGTGTACTACAGAAATCATGATGAACCCTTAAAAAAAACTTGAACAGCCCTTATGGCAACATCAGAACCCTTCATCAACTGGAAGAACAAATAGAAATTGCAAGTTTAAATTTTGTGCAGGACAAATGGTTTCAATAAGGTGACTGCTCACCCTGATATCAACAGGGCTTTTGAAATTTTAACTAAACACTCATATGGATCACCAAATATGATTACAATATGATTATTTAACTTCGAAACCACCTTGTTGCGGATTGTTGCAGCTGCAGAAAGAGTAAATCCCCAGGCGAAAGCCACAATCGTTGGCTTTGTTGCCAGCTGGAAGTAGCGCTTGAAGAAAGTCTTTGGCCTAAACTTTTCGAACGGCACCGAACCAGTTGCTTTGATTTCAGCCATTGTCCACGGTAACACTATAAAAAGCGAAGATCGGAACGAATGACAATGTTAGAAACGCTACAATGTATGGACACTCAAGATGGAATTATTTACTCAGTAGGGCAGTATATTTTGCCATGGCCAACCCCTTCTCGTGAGCAGCCTCATTCAGAGGTTTGTCAAAGAACCGCGGTCCAAAATGGTACCAGGAATTAGTAGTCATCCCTGAGCGGCCGAGACGCCATTTTGGAACTGAAAAATAACAGTTAGGCTGAAGAAGGCGACGACGAGTAATCGACGGATCTTACAATTCATCAGCTCCATGAAAGACGGATTCACGGCCATTCCCGGATGTTCCTCGCTTAAGTCGAACTTTTCAGCGATGGCCTTATATTGCGCGGAGCTTTTATATACCTAAATTTATGTAAATTACTTTCCGAACAACAACAAAAACAAATTACAGTCGCACAAACCTTATCTTGAAAATCTCCTAGTTTTCCTGGTTGGTCGCCCTTGAGGGTGATGTTGGGATAATACTTTGAATCGAGGCCAAGAGGACCGGCAATAGAAGTTCCATCAGGGACCTGTGAAAAACAAATGTAAATATCCTCAGTGGGAAAAAGTCGTTTGAAATGTTAATGAATAAAGGCCAAATATCAGCAAATTTGAATCATTTGTATGACCTTGGGATCGTAATACTCTGGATCTTCTTCTTTATAGCGATGGCATATCTGGCGCCACTTTCCCCTGCGAACGAAGTCGTCTTGAACGCCGGCTTCCTTCCACCAATCAGGTCGACCCTTGCTGAAAAGTTTTCAGGTTTAAGATCTTCTACGGGCGACACAGACCATTAGAAGACTATCCGGATTTTCTTCAAACAAGCCTTATTCAGCAATTCCAGCATCGAAGCTGTTCTTTTTCAAGTTCTTTTCTGGAGTACGAGGAGCACAAAACTAGTACATAAATGAGAACCATTTAGGTGTTATCCCATGATATGAATCCTTACGGAGCAAATGGTGACAAAACAAGTACTGAGGTTAAGGAGATAAGCAAGGATACTCGAACTTGCTTAACATAAATCTGTTCTTTCGGCATGCTCTTGTTACCCAATCAACTAAAACAATGATTTATCCAAGTTCATCCAAGNAAGGACCTGAAACAAGTAGTGCAGATTGCAAAACGGTAAGCAGTCCTGAAGGGCTTAAATTTGTTCAACTGTGTGCTTAGAAACTACCATAATCCATACTACAAAGCTCAGTAAACCAAGTTCAAATGTAATTCTCACTATTCGCGACTACTCCACAATCCAATCCATGGGGGTCGCATGGGCTTGTAGGTGGCCTCGAGAGGAGTACCCTCGTCGTAGCCCATGGTCTACCTGTAATGGCATCGATAGAACAAAAATTTCGACCGGCAGAGCTGTCCATGCAGCAAACAGTACGATGAACGTATGCACACCTCCTTGAAGACTTGAGACTAAAACGGGAACAATTGCGAAAAAGTTAAACATTCTGAGAAAAACTGGCGAAAGTTGACATTAGGAAGCTATTTCAAATATTATCGTATCAATAAGAATAAAATTTAAAAGTGAGAGAAAAAACAACTTCGACGGCCAAACCCAGTTTTGTGAGAGTCATGCAAGCGTGAATTGGAAAAGGCGTAGCATTCAAGAAAGCTATGAATCAACTCAGGAGAGGAGAAAGCAATCAAATGTTCAAAAGAGGGAAAGTAGTGCAAAATCTTTTTTGAAGACCGGAAGCTGAATGGAGGTGAAAACTTCATGCGAACAAGCTTGGATTTTCCTATGTAAATCAGATAATAAACTTTACTTACAGCCGTTGAAATCAAGGTAAAACGGGAAAAGACAAAGCGTCTCAAAACAATTCACAANNNCAAAACAATTCACAAATGCCTGGCTTTCCGAGTTCAATGACATGCACTGTTTCAATCATCTGAATCTGAAAGCACTAATCGACAGAATAACACCAGAGACTTACTTAGAAACAAATGAGATATGGACATCAAACATTTGACAGTTGTATGGTAGCAAAATCAGAATTTCCGATTTTCTGCCAACTACAAGAGAAAGAGAGCTTTTCGGAGAACAATCCATAAGTTAGCAGTGCAGTTTCAGCTGCTCACAGACCTCACAAAACCGCTATTACAGTACCCTGTGCGCTTCTTTTGAGCTTTATCCGACTTAATGTGTTAATTTAATTGGTTCCCTCATCAAGGATTCATTTTCGCTAATCTGAAATGATGTCAAAAGATCGCATGGAACTTGAATTTCCTGGAAATGAAAAATTTTGTGGAAATTGAGCAGATTTGAGAGCCCGATTGACGGCAGTCTGCAGTATTGCGTACATTTGTTCCACGCGGGGATGACTTTGAAGTGCAAGTTCCGTTTTGTTTTTCCTGGAATTTAGTTTTCCCTTGTAAAACCATTGATTGCTATTTGACTGTTACTTTTGATGTGTTGTCTTAAATCAAACGATGGATAATGGAGACATGTATAGAAACGTTTTTATTCGATTACTTACTACATAATTTTGACTGTTACTTCCAAACTCCATACTGCATCCCAAAAGTTCAGCGAAGACTTCTGAAATCTGATAGATGTCCGGGAATGACGATGCGGACGCAATGGAGATCAACGAATTTGGCTTGAAAAACGCGGCCACCATCGGGTTGATCGGCACACAAGATGCTGTGAGTAGATTTTTTTTTNNTTTTTTTTTTGAATCTCTCCAGTACTGCATAAGCAGGATTACACTTGCACGTTCAACTATTTGATATGCCTTTTCACTATTAGTTCGTTCGGCCTTTCAGAATGACCGTATTCCATTTAATTCAAAACTGAAGTTGAACTAGATTAAACGTGACTTTGTAATAGGATTAGAAACAAGGGGCTTCACGAGTTTTCAAAGCGTCTTGAAATTCTCAAGGTTCCAGGAGATCTCTTTCCTCGAAGTGGATTGTAGCGAAAAATGACACCTCAACTTTCTGTCGCCATAAATTTTCAAAGCACCATGACTTCCTCCCGGTTTTTGAGGCCCTTTATTGAATCTTCGTGAAAACGATGCATAAGCTAACTTTGCTGTGGAGAGCAGCAACGCCATTAGCGCTGTAGTTGGAGCATTAAGAACTGGATTGGTTTTGCCTCACCGACATCCCAGTCACCCGGGTAACAGCAATAAACTCATACTTCCGCGTTGAAAGTGTTGAAATATTGGCCTACTAGTAACCAAGCGGGTGACACCGTTGAGGGTCAACAGCTAACGATCAATCATAAGTTACAATGGTAGAGCTATAAAGAAGCACATGTTCTTAGCAGCGTTCACTTGCTGTCATACTTACCGATCCGTTAACCTTAGTCACGTCATCTGCATTACTTTGCCTTCGACACAAACCATGATTGGATTAGGTAATGTGTCGTTGGGATCTTGTTTTGAATTCGTTAGTGTCTCTCGGTCGACACCAATCAGGACAATTTCTATGGCACAGTCACTTGTTTTTTCGGTGGTTTCACCATTGTGTCTGCCTAACCCGTTTTTGTCGAAAGAAGCAAGCACCTGCCGATCAAGCCAGAACATTGAGATCGTGATTACGGAATGATGATAACACCTCACGGAAGCGATTTGCTTGGCGCCGTACCAAATTGGTAAGAAAGTAGGGTTCAATGCCATACAAGGACTTCATTAGTAATATGAAGGTCTCCTTTTACTTGCAAATGAGGGCATTCTTTTACGATCGTACTTATGGGTTGTGCTCGTCGGAGAAGATGTGTTGATTTCTTTATCAAATGAAGAATGAGTGCGAGTTTTTATGTGGTGTGCTGTAATTCACTGCCTGCGTCCCTCAACTGTTCAGTACAACAGTGGTTGCTGATATTAGTAGAGAAGCAAGAGCTCTTTGAGATATTGTTCGATTGTAACTTCCCTCCTTTCATCTATTAGAAGCATAAGATGTAATGAAACAAAAGAGTATTAGACCTCGTACCATACACTTGGCCCAATTTCCAATGTAAGGCACAATTCCCATGGGACATTATGCGTTCACTACAGTCAGATCAGTTGCGTATGTTTTATGTGAGAGGGATTCATATGTGGCATTAAGTTAAAGCGGAAGAAAGTGATTCATTAGATGTTGATCAATTTCTTTGGAATGCTTCGTCACCTAATGAATTTGCGTTTGGAATTGAAACGATATTCGATTGAGCAGTTGTTCTGCATGACACCTTGTCAGCTGATTGAAAGAACGTTGTTCCCGAATCTCCATATATAATTCTCACTTAATGCATCGTTGATTAGCAGATCATTTCGNGGTAGGGGTTGTCGCTGAGATGTGGGCTTTCGTTTTTAGGCAGGCGTTTGGCAACTGTTTGTTGAGGGATTGTGATTGACGCACTTCTCCCTATGTGACTCCTTTTTGTGCTGTAAAGCAGAGGGGCCCAAGATTTCAAGTGAAGGTTCTGTACTAGCAGATACAAGCTTTGTAAAGCTGTGTTCCTTTTTTATTTGGCAGAATGATGCTCAGCATGTCAAAGTATATGCAGGATCACATTTTATTTAAGGAAGCTGCACAATTCAAGTCTGAACGGATTCGAAGTCTTGTATTGCGGGTATTGGGGGTCGGTGAGAATGTGGCTCCAGAATTCGTTCTGCAGAGTGCGTTAGTGGCTGAGTGTAATGTGAGGATCTCTGAAACGGATTTGTTGGATTTGAGTAAGTGTTTTATTTTTAATAAACAATATCTCAACCAGTTTGCAAGCATCTCTCAATTTCAGTCGCGTATAGAAGTTCCATTCATGATCTGATCTTTACTCTTGTATCATCTATCGCGTCAACTTCTGAAGTGGCTATGGAGGTCGACTCAGGTATTTGTTCATTTTTTAAATAATAAGCTGATGATGCCAACACGTTCAAACATAAAGATGAGATTATTCGGATATTTCTCTCCTTCCCTTGCATAATAGCTAACCCTTTCTTTCAGAAGATTCCCTCGGATCTATCCTTTTTATACCTGAGCTGGACAAGATTGGAAGTACAAAGGAAGCTATGGCTTTGAATTACTTGATGTCTACGTATAGTCGTTTGAACACAGAAAGTCGTAATGAGGTGATAGCTTTTATCGACCACTTTGTTGTCCGTGACTCTTTCTTTCATCTCTTTGACCTAGAACCTTTGAATCTAGGGTATCAGGCCGGCTCAGTTTGTGGTAACCAACAGTTTTCTGATATTTCAGTTTTTTCAAGACTTTGAGAAGCAGATGTGCTTAGATCTTCGTGAATTAGTGTTGTCGAATATTGTTATTCTTCTTCGCGGGTACTACGAGCCTTTGTAAGCGAGTTTTGCCACAAATTTGGCACATTTCTCGGGGATGTGCGTGATAGTATGTAAAAGATTTGTTCCAGCATGTCGGGCAAGCTGGCACGTTCGTCTCTCGTTCGTCTCCTTTATTCGAATCTGGTATCAAATACACTTCTGAGTGATATCATCTCGCACTGTATTGATCGAACCTTGTGTGATGAGAATGCCCTTTCTGAGGTGAGGTCAAGCCGCTGACGTAAGAATTAATTTGAGTGCTCATAGATTTTGAAGTTAATTTTTATTGATCTAGAGGCACTTTAGCCTTTACATCGGTTTCAAACTCTGCGTGTGTATCGAGCCCATTTTTT